TCTACCTTTGGTTTTTTCCTCTTTCTCCCATCTGTAACCCCTGCTCCCCCTTGATCTATAAAAGGGAGGGCAGGACACCCCACTAAAGGGACAGATCGATTCCACACACAATGCATCACATAACACACATCCAAGCTACAACCGAGCTCTTGGCATCCTTTCGACCCTTCCATCAGAGACTTGGGACCTGTCCTTCTCTCTACCGTTTGTACCCTCTACTACGAACCTTTTTTGGTCCTAATAACACAAGCAGCAGCAGACTGGATGTAGGTACATTTTGCCTGAACCAGTATAAACCTTGTGTCCTTTAGACACACCACCTAGACCTAATTCGCAACAAATATAAATTTACTAGTTGGTGTTTACTCGAAACACCGACACCTCTCTTGAGTAGTAGTCTCTTCCCTGAACCCATGCATCCAACCATACACGATGGACTCTTTATTATGTACCTTTCTCTTCCTTTTCTCTTCAAGTTGTTGACCATGACGTCTCTCCTTCTATGCTCTGTTTGATATCGCAAAATATCTCCAAATTCTAGCACATTTGCTTTTTTGGCATCCATGCAAGTTGTATAATAATCAACCCTTAGGATCTCCCCTCACATGTTACCTTCTCATCCCAATTATGCTTGATTGCTCATAGCTAGGATGAAACCGGATCGGATACGAACGGATATCACTAAAATCACATTTGTTTTCATATTTCTGTCCGGATTCGGATTCGAATACGGATAGTGTCAACCATGCCGGATAGGATATGATTAGATATCGACATCATAAATATGCGATTTGAGTATTCGGATACGGATACGGTGTCGGATGTTGAATATCCGGACTCGGATACGGACAGATCTGAACCCCTCTAAACGGATTCGATCTCGAATACGGTCGGAAAATATCCGTACCATTTTCACCCCTACTCATAGCTATGAGAATTTTAATGTCAGGATACATTCGGACCCATATAGGATCTACCAAGTCCATAACCTCTCAAAGGGTTTGAAGTGGTTTCCCTCCACGCGAGATGTGAGAATCAGGAGGATCATTTTTTTAGTGATGAGAAATCAGGATCACAATTGCGGACCACTTCAAAAGTTTAGTGATTGAAATCCTCACTTTGAGAGTTTGTGGTGCTAGATGAGGATCTAGGAAAGTTTAGTGATTGAAATCCTCACTTTGCTTACAGTATTAGGCAAAGTTGCACGCCCATAATCTGTTGCTAGAGGACAAATTCCCAAATGGTCCAAGAAGGATTGTTCTACGTACCCATTGCTCTAACTCTAAATAATCAGACCTTCCTAATTAAACATCCCTCCTGAGCGCCAGGCGATGTGTGCGTGTATGTACTATTCTTTGATTCATCAACAGAGAAGCTTGGACCATGTGTGAGTAATTTCGACCGGCAGTATAGCACTATGTATGGAGTCCTGGAAATTCTTTGCATAGCTACAGCTTCATGCAAAACAACGCCACCATCTGCAATGCAGCTTTGTCCCGGCCTGTGCAAATGGTAGCAAGAACCCAAGATGGGACGGCCTGATATGATGTAGTAAGCTTCTGCCCCATTGGCTCATGTGTAGTAGGGCCCAGTCTGTTTAGTTTTTTTTTTCTATATAAAAAGGAACTTTTCGAAACAGACACTGCCATTTTCTTCAGATAGCAGACACGGTTTCGCAATTTTTTCCTTAAAAATAGTAGTCGGTTTCCTGGTATTCCTATCAGAAAAAGAGACCGTTTCACCATGTCAGTTACCGACCATGCACGTCACAATGGCTTCTTTACATACCTTACTCTCCTTTTTCTCTTCAAGCTGTTGACCATGAGATCTCTCCTCCTCTTTGGATGCTGTATTCATTATTGCAAAAATATCATCTCCAAAATCTATTCATGCGAGTTGTATAAATCAACACATAGCATCTCCCGTCACATGTTACCTTCCCATCCCAATTATGCTTGATTACTCATAGCAATGAGAGTTTTTTATATGTATTTTTTTAACCCAAGTTAGATGAATCTTCATATGATTATTTGGTCATATGAATTACTTGAATTGAACAACATTCCTCACCTACAAAGTTATAGACCTCACTAAGGGCTTCAATTATCATATACACTCACCTACAAAGTTATAGACCTCACTATACTAAGGGCTTCAATTATCATATACATTCTAGAGTAAGTAAAATACACCAGCAATCCTTAAATGTCTCCTGGATTCTCTACCAAGTCCACAACCTCTCAACAGGTTTGGGTTCTTAAACTCTAAAGCCAAGTGAGACGTGAGAAATGTTGAGAAAATAAGCAATTTCTAGAATAAAATCAGAACATAAATCATGACAATCTCATATACTAGTATGAGCATTGCTCACATACTAGTCGGATTAAACAGCATGAACAGAGATACTAGTATGAACATTGCTTGCATACTAGTCAGATTAAACAGCATGAAAAGAGACATTGGATCATGGGGTATGTACCTTTCAACCGCAGAGGGAGACGACGTCACAGGTGGTGGACGTTGTTGTTGATGGTGGTATGAAGTCGTCAATGAGTGGTGGATGAACTTTCCCACTAGATGCGATGAGCCTGCTGGCAGCGGAGACGACGTCTCGACGCAGCCTTCAGAAGACGAGCCGTCGTGGAAGCTGGGAGCAACCACGCGAAGAGCTCTTTCCAAAAACCTTATTCGTCCTCTCCTGGTGCAGGATCACAGACGAGACTTCTAGAGACCTGCTCTCCCGATCGCCGGTGCACGCAAGCAGTCAGGATGAAGAGACTACGGCGTCAATGTAGCAGCGAGAAGAGGATAACACTAATTGACTACATTAGGATTTCCCAAACTAGTAACTCCCAATAGTAGTTCGATTATTGTGTCTTTCCTAGAAGTATTGGTGTGTGTGTATATAGAGAGAGAGAGGAGAACTCCTTACCTCCACATCAACTAGCAATATGGTACTAATTGATGTTTATTAAGGAACACAGGTATTAGGTCTTTGAGATTTATTAGAATTTCTGCATATGGCGTTTGAGATTTATTAGAATTTCTGCATATTGACTTTAGTCAACAAAAACTGTGTACTACTTTTTGAAACAAAACTGACAAAGATCTGTTAATAAAATATTTTCAAATTTTTAATTACTAATTTTTTCCTTCGTTCTCTACTTCAAGATTTCCTACCCCTATTCGAAATTGGACTAGCTACTTGAGATATATCCTGTCTTGTTAAGCGTCTTCGTCATCTGGATGAAAATGGTATAGTAAACTTTATTTAATCATCACGACCTGGATGTTTTTGAACCTCTGTTTATAAGTTTAGCTGAAAGCTTTCAGCTTTAGCGCCTGTTAACTTTGTCTGTCTCTGATTTATTTAAAAGTATGTATCATCGCCCTCCTTAATTTAATTGATGTTGCTAGATGGCATATATCCATATTAGACATGCACATAAATCTGTTGCTAGAGAACAAAATGGTCGAAGATCAAGGATTGTTCTACGTACCCACTGTTCTAAACAATCAGACCAGTGTTTTTCTTTCCTTCCTCCTAATAATAATTTCCTAAACATCCCTCCTGAGCGCCAGGCGATGTGTCCGTGTATGTACTATTCTTTGATTCATGAACAGAGAAGCTTGGACCATGTGTGAGTAATTTCGAATAGCACTACACATGTACTTGTACCATACAGATTTAAGTGACAAGTATGTATGAAGTCGTGGAAATTCTTTGCATGCCTACAGCTTCCGATAATAAACTCAGAAAACCCGAGGCATGCATGGTACATACATAATAACTGCGTACTTACACCACGGTATAATGAAAGGTCTAAGAGTTGTCTGCCATGTTAGTTTCTTCGTAAACGATCATGAATTATTTACTGCTGGCTGGTTTGGCTGGTTTGATATGAGAGAAAAATACTGTTCCAGCTTATAATCCGCGATCGTATACGGTGGTCAGGTACATCAAGCTTTGCACTGTTGTGAACGTTGAATATTTTTCAACACGTTTCCTCTACACTCCATGTGCCTGAAATCTCTTCACGTGACCTGCTCCCACGCCCGCACCGCCCCCCGCGCCCGTGCCCATGCGCCTGACCGCGCCCGTGCTACCCCCGCCACCCCACACCCACACCCCACCGGAGATGAAGACGACAACGGTGGCAGTGGCGGCTGTGTTCAATGATGCGAGACATAGCTCCAAATATCGATGAGATAGAAGGGGCACCGAGGGCACGCTTCGCCTTCCTTGGGTTGGCTCCAATTTTATGGGGTCGCTGCAGCAGAAGGTGGTGGGGCTGTCTACGTCGGCGAGGGTGTAGCACGAGGGTGCCGCCGGCCGGAGTTGGAAAAGATGGCGGCGCTGGAGAGGGGCGAGCTGACCGGTGTGGAAGCCACGATGGTGGACAACCAGCCCGCCATCGCTTTGCGAAGAATCGGTTACGCACGATCGGAGCAAACACATCGACGTGAAGTTCTACTTCCCTACCATGTCGATGGAGGGCATCGATCGTCATCGAGTTCGTGAAACTGGCATGGCAACTCAAGGACGTCCTCACCAAGCCGCGGACGCTCGACTCAGCCACAAGGAGATGATCGGCATGGAGGGGGTACAAGGGATAGTAGTAGGATTAGGGAAGAATTGTTAGATAATCCACTTTTCTTGTGTGAAACTGGTCAGAAATCCTTGAAATGGATTCAGAGAAACTGGGAGTACACTGAGATACATGAACTACTACCTACCTAGAGATACTAGAGACAATTCAACATCTCTATAAGTGTTATCTAGTTCAGGGCTGTGAGGGCAGCTGCACAAGACTAGATCAGTAGAGTCACATATATAGTTTGTTAATTCAGTACTACAACAAAGAAAGTTCACTTGCCATCTTCTAATACAGGGCTCCACCACGCTGGTGTCCTCTGAATCCAACCACGCTCTATTTCTCTCTAATTTCCTACTACCTTCTGACCATAGTGTAGAAAGAAGAAAACTGAATTCAGATTACCTAGATCGTGGTCGGTAAGAATGGTGAGTGAAGTGACTCACAAGGGGGCCCCTGATCCTGTGGGCTAACATTGTTCATCTCTACAGCCTTCTCACCCTTATTCTCACTGGCCTCCTGGGATGCTGCTTCTTCTGTGGCGTCCTTCTTTTTCCTCGCATCTTCAGCTTCTTGTTGCTTAGATGACTCCGGCGCCTTCCTCGCCATAAAACCAAAGCAATCCAAGCCCAGGACCATCTTGATACTTGAATTTTGATTATGGATCCCTCCTTTCACTTCTTGAACGTGTAAAATATAATTGTATCGGCTTAAGCCCTCTAGGCAGCCTGTACGTCTCATATATATACAGTTACGCACAGGACTTCCAGTACTTGGCCGAACCATGCTGTCCTATACCGATACAGCACAGTGCTGGACTCCAATACTATTACGTATTTCTACAGCCCCCCTCAATCACAACTTGCACAAGTTGAGATTGTTTCTAAATTCATGCAGCCTAGACACTGATTGTGGCTTTGTAAATCCATCAGCTACTTGATCATTACTGGAAATAATCCAAACATCTAGGAGCTTCTGTGCTACACAATTCAGAGAAACTGGGAGTAAACTGAGATACATGAACTACTATGAGCAAGTTATGTTCAGGCACAAGATGGTCTCACAGGTAACAAACATTTAGTTAATTCAGTATGCTACTTCACTCTACATACTACTAACTTTGTAACTCTTTTACAAACCACTACTCTGAATCCATCCACTCGGTATTTCCTCTCTAATTGCCTACTTGCCTTCAGCAAGAACAACAGAAAGAAGAAAACGGAATTCAGATTAGCTAGATCAAGGCAGGGGTAGAACGGCTAGGGAAGTGAGGCACCACAAGGGGCGCCCCTGTGCCTCTCCCCTCCTTGTTCTTCTCTACAGCCTTCGCATCCTTATTCTCACTGGCCTCCCGTGATGCTGCTTCTTCTGATGCGTCCTTCTTTTTCCTCGCATCTCCAGCTTCTTGCTTCTTAGATGACTCCAACGCCTTCCTCGCCATAAAACCAAAGCAATCCAAGCCTAGGACCATCTTGATACTTGGATTTCGATTATGGATCCCTCCTTTCACTTCTTGAGTGCACTTGTTTTTTTTCTGTTTTGTATCTCCTAGTTGTGGTTGTTCTTGAGCTGTGGTGAACTTTTATCGGTGCTGGGTTGCTGGCTGCGAATTGTTTATATATATGGGGAAGGGGCAGAGTCCTTGTCATGCAAGCTTTGTGGAAATTTCGAGGATAAGTGCAACACATTAAGCGCGTGTTTAGTTGCCCAAATTTTGGAATTTGGACTACTGTAGCACTTTCGTTTTTATTTGGCAATTAGTGTTCAATTATGGACTAATTAGGCTTAAAACGTTCGTCTCGTAATTTCCAAATAAACTGTGCAATTAGTTTTTTTTTCGTCTACATTTAATGCTCCATGCACGTATCGCAAGATTGGATGTGCTGGGTACTGTAGCACTTTTTGGGAAAAATTTTTGGAACTAAACAAGGGCAACAAATGATGCTAACGACAAAGACTAGCTGTAGTGTAGTGGCCTAGTGGGAGTTGTTACCTTGGTGGGCAAGGATCTTCAAGAATTCAGCAAGGCACTGCGGTATTTCCTCTTTGGATTTTTTTTTTTTGCATAATAATGCTTTTCATTTTAATTTGAATGAATCCGTTGAAATGAGACCTATCTTATACTATTATTGGGGCATATTTATATAGCAGATTTTATTACAAGTACATAGAACTTATTGAAATTTATAATAATAAATAGACTTTTTCCAAAGGTATATGAAACATTGCCAGAGCAATACCCTCTTCCAAACAGCTCTTTTGTTGACACCGGTTCGAGTCATACAACGGTAGGGGCTAGATCGCCCAGAGGCCGCACACGATCGAGCACGCAGCGGAGGCAGATCCCAATGGCGAGGCCGACCAACAGGTCGAGGCCGATCAGACGCTCGTTCTTCGCCAAATAAACCCACAAACGCCTCTCAGGAATACTCGTAGTGGAGATGCACGGTAGGGGTGTTCTAGGATCGACAAAGCCACTTAGAGCACTGACATATCTCATCGAGAGATGCACTGGACAACACAGGGTTGGAAGAGCTTATAAGGTATATAGAAGATAAAAAGTAATAGATGCTGTGTTTTTTGATGATTGGATGTTGGATCCCTCGATCGGTCGTCACCCTATATACATAAAGAGAGGGGCTGGTTTTTCCAGTACCGAGAATAATAGAACAAAAATCGGCCATATTGATTTTCCGTACTATAATCGGACTTAGATAAAAATCCCAACAAGGACGTGACGTACTTGTGTTCCTCCACGTCAGGAGTCAGGACGTATTGTCGAATCACCCCCGGCCAAAGTTACTTGCATCTTGGCTCACGGGATCATATACAAATCCGAGAGTCCGAGATTTCTGTTATTTCCTTTTACGTGGAGTCTCCGAGAGTCCGAGATAATAATATACAAATCCATATTATATTTTCTTTTCCAAATTCCCTTCATGGATCAATCTCGGGCTAGGCACTGCGTACCACCGCCCGACCTTTCAAAAGTCATTTTTTTTCCTATTCTTTATCTCATGGTAGTTTTAATGTCAAATCCAAAACAAATAAATTGGACTACAGAGCCAAAGAGGAAAATCGTAGTATAAAACAAATGCGTCTTTCTCCAGGTAAGGACTTTTTTTGCGCTGTAACAACCTTCCCTAGTTGGCACACAGAGGAAACCAGCCAGGTCTTATGGAGAAATGAGTCAAACTTGCGTGATGCATGCAAACAAAAAGGTGTATATGCGGTGTATAGAAGATAGAACCCTGATTTGTCATGGAAAAAAAGGGATAGAAAACTGGCGCATGGTTCACTTGGATGATTCTTGAGAAACAACACTCAACATGGACAGTTGGTTCTTTAAGATGGAAATGACTACTGGATTGATATGCATGCCAAGTGTTGCATTGGGTACACATTTAAGCATGAGATTGAATGCCTTATTAAGATCCATGTTGGAACACTTTTTTTTTTTAATGAGAGTGTATCAACCAAGTTCATTTACTGACAATGTTCCCATCTGGAAGTAGCTCATAGATCAAATTTTGGTTTCATTGTTGGTAATGTTCAAGTTTTCACGTAGAGACTTAGAGTTCCATAATTGAGGGTGAAGTACCTTTCAGGGTCCTCTTGTTCTGTAAGTTCATCGGGTCAGTCTTGACTCTTGACCAGCACAGCAACACCCCCATCCCTGAATTTAAAGTTGAGCAGCACTAAGGACTTTTATCAGAAAAGGAAATCATACACAACTGGAAGTGATGGTTCATGGGTATCTTAAGAACTTACATTATGAACACACTCAACTCTAGAACCCATTGCGTTAATGTGGCATGTCCACTCAACACTGCAATTGTAACACCCCAGAAGAAAACAACATAAATTTCCTTCTGGAGTATTACCACACTACAATCTAACAAGAACACATCATCAGAGAACGCAGAAGCAACAAACTAAGTTAAACATTAAATTAAGTCTTCTACGATGACATAAACAAAGATATCTTCAAAGACAACTAGCAAAACTAAGGTGTTTAAAACAATGTACAAAAAAAACCTCCGACAACCAACTAATTTGTTGTAATATATGTGTTTGTTTGAACTTTAGGCCAAAGTGTGCACTCGTGCAGCTACGCCCATCCCGCCAAGCATCCTTGAAGCTCATGTACCTGAGACGGGGGAACAAGCGCGTGAGGTTTATGGTAAACCTCAGCAAACAAACTGCTTCAACCAAGTTATTCAAATCACAGTTCGATTAAGCATCAGGTTTAAATAGCATAATAGTAGAGACATCAACTGCTTCGTAGTAATATAAATATACTTCCAAGTGCAATGCAAATAATGCAATGCAATGCATGACTTCACTTGTACCCACACATCCCAATAAGAGGGAGTGAGGGCTGCAACCACATTACTCATCAACATGCGTTGCTGTACCGGAAAAAAAGTGTAAATGCAAGTGTTGCAACGTACGTAGTTCATATATACTTCATAATTCAAAAGTAATATCACAAGATATGAAATCATATACTTCAAAGGCAAATAACTTCAAATTTTAGATTACATGGCTAGTGTGAGATACTAAAAATTTAGTGAAGGCAATTTAAACAACAAAACTAAATGTGGACCACAATGCCACGTTTACTTGCCTTTACCAATGATCAAATGAAAGAGCTAGGCGCGCTGAGAAGGCAAACCACCTGATCATAAGCTAACCTCAGTACCAACATCATCGTACTAACAAGACAAACAACAATTACACACTAAAGCATCACAAACCTCCCGTTTAAGCATCCACCGTTTCGCTACCAATCGTGACAGCAGCACTGTCCCTTGTCTTTTTCATAGACATTTAACTATACATTCAAAAATTCTGAAAATCTATCAGATGATAGAGAACTCCATTATCTACAAGTTTTGTATTATAAGATTCTGCATAAGAAGTCTCCAAGATAGCATGATCATCCTCTTAATTTAACTGAACTTTTCGACGGTCAAAACAAGACAACAATATTATAAAATTGATAACTAGAGGTATGCTCATCCACAAAATACTTTGTATAACAATCTGGAAAGCTTAAGAAAAACTCTACAACTTTCATTTAGATCGCAAGTTAAAATTCCTCCATTACCAGGGCCACAAATTGGATAGATCTAAAACAGCCCAGATTCTCGTCACTGCAAAACAGCCTTCTTAGAAAAACTATAACTCCAAAAATACAGAGCCTATGAGGGTGATCTTGCTGTCGAAAGAAAGGTATACGACTTTTTCCACAGTGACAAAATTTATTAAAGCCATAAACAGCGATGAACAGAACTGTTCAGTCTGACAGAATTTCAGAACATGGACGAAAATTAATTTCGACAATTTCGAGAATTACTCTAACTATGCCCCTTCTAATTCAACGATTCCATCCACAAAACTTGATCCAAAGAGGTGGATTAGTATTTGGCATCTCACCTAGGGAAAATGCAGCGAGCATGATGACAAACTCCCAGCAATCCACTCCTTCCTTCCATTGTCTTCACTTCACAGCGATCTACGCCGCTATGACTGGATCGGCGTTCCGATCTATGTCGCACGTAGGGTAACCATCATGGACAGCAAGAGAACAAGAAATTGATGGCAAAAATAGGGAGACAAGATGATGCCTAACCAAACATCCGTGAAAAAATGGCGCCCCGAACGACTGCGGCGGCGGATGGCGGCAGACGACACCAGCAAGCCCTAAATCCTCTCTCTTCCTCTCCTATTCTTCCTCTCCCCTTTTCTCTTGCGTGAATCAGAGAGCTAGGGCTGGTGGCAAAGGAGAGGTTCGGCCATAGGGGAGAAACACGGCATATGGAAAGTCACGGAAGGGGAATTGGTCATGAAGAAAAAGAAAACCCACGCCAGGTCTTCATAACAGGTATGTGGCTTTTTTTCATAAAACTAACAAATAACATAACTTCACCATCGATAGCCCGATTAATGCGAATAAGCAGTCAAACGGAAAGTATTCGACGAGCTCTACGCAATGGTGGTCTCCATTAATCCATCCTAGCAACGGATCAAAAAGTCAAATTTTCGGTCTCTCCTTAAATCCAGTCAACCTTCACAAAAAAAGAACACTTGATCCATATTAAAATTCTTATTTATGGCATTCATTCTCGGGGTATTACAGCAATTAACTCTAACATCAGTCATATCTGTGAGTACCTACCTGAAGCACAGAAGACAACACTGAATACTGTAATCTAGAAAGGTACGAACTAAGGAAAGAAACATTTACTTCGTGCAGGGACAAGAAATAGACCTGCTGCACTAACTTGTCAATCCTTTGGATTCACAAGTTCAGTGCAAAATGATCAAATTGAATGCAATCCTAAAGGGTGTTGGTTTTGGTAAACAAGATGGGACCTGGACCCTCTTCCAAGTCAACACCAGTATCCTTAATACATGACAGGTGCAAAACTTAACTAGTATCATATATAATCTGCTAACTCAAAT